ATTTATTTTTTATTGATTATGTTTGATCACAAAGTAAATTCGAAGGCCTTCGTGTGTTTTAAACAAAATAGTTTTTTTATGTATTTATTTATTAAATTATTATTTTTGTCAAACAAATGTTTTATTATGATCCAGCCAGAAAATAATCAAGAAACCAAAATAAATATATTAATTGTGCGGTCGGATTGATGGCTACAATTATCTGATAGTTAATTATACATAGAGGGGTCAAAGTGTAACATTGACCTTGTGGTTATTTACTATTTAATTGGAGGTCAATTAATTTCTTTTAGTAGAGTAGAAATTAATTTATAAATTAATTGAATTGGGTCCATGGTATAATGGACCGGGTCAAAAATTATTAATTCATTTGAACCAAGAGAATAGTAAGCCTAAAGGATTATGTGAAGAAATTGAAGTGATCAAATTTATTGATTTTGGTGTCTAATTTGGCTACTGGCATATTGCGACCGGTTCCGATTTCAGGGAACCAATTCCGCGTATGCCATTGCAAAATTGGTTTTGGTTACTTCCAAAATGCAACCGGTTCCTCTTTCAGGAAACGATTCAAGTTGATTTTTGAAAAAACAAGACTTGTGGGGCAAGTTAGGTTCTATTGTTTGGAGCTATTTATATCAACCCTAATAAGACTTTAGGGTTTGAGAAGGTGGCTCCCGTGAGTGAATGATTAAATTGATTTGTATCAACACAAGAAAGAACAAATTCTAAATTTGGGGTAAATCACGTATATCTTATATTCTTGTTATTGTGATTTTTTTTTTTTTTGTTTTCTTGGTGATTGTTTGTGACTATTTCTGAACTATCGTTATTTTGCATTTTTACTATCAGAGTATCAAGTTGTTTCCCTAATAGAATAGGAGAAAAGTCTAGCCAAATTGGTTTAGTTTTTTTTTAATCACATGATTGAAAAAACAAAAAAAAAAAAAAACAAAGAAAGGTATGAAAAGTAAAAACTGATTAACTAATTGACATGAGATTAAATTTTAATACTAGCATTAAAGATGAGTATATATTACTCGTTGCTCGCCAGTTGAACCACCGCTACCTTATAAATTTCTCAGATTCATGGTGGCGGTTTGGTAAATGGGTGAAATTGAAATCCAAGTTGAACCACCGCTACCTTATAAATTTCTCAGATTCATGGTGGCGGTTTGGTAAATGGGTGAAATTGAAATCCAATATAATTATTTGCCCAACCAAACCCATCCTGAATTGTTGTGAGTATCATGCATAACTGAATAATAAAGTTATACATAAATCAAACTCGCACAAGGTACATTGGGTTCATGCACTTGGCAAATAAATTATTCAAAGACGACAAATCGTGGGGTCTGATCGAGTTTAATAGGTTTGTTGACCAGGGAAGTTTTGGTTGGTTGATGTCTAACACTGTTAGAGAAAAATCAATTGGCTAAAGGCCTATGGCTTTGAATGGAATAAAGTTCGTTACTCTTTCTTTTCTTTTCTTTTCTTTTTATTTTTCTATTTTTTTATTTTTTGTGGATTATTTTTGCTGAAATTATAAAGAAAAAATGTTTCTTTTTTATCTAAATAATTTTCAAGTAAAGTAATACTGTGCAGATGCCTCGATAGTCAAAAGATAAAGTAATACTAAAGTTTAAGCAAGTAAACTAATGAGTTTAAATTAATAAACTTCAAAGACCCGATTACACAAGTTTAATGAATTAGATATTCAATCAATTAGGTCACCAATAATATTCAAAATTTAAGATTTAAAAAAAAAAAAAATTCAACTATGAATGAGATTAAATTAGTAAAATTTGTTTATTATAAAAATAAAATATATTATTTAAAGTGACAATTTTTAAAAAATATATGCATATCCAAAGAGGATAATGATTTAAAAAAAAAAAAATTAGAGTAAAGTAAATGGCTTCTTGAATTTAAAATTGACACGTTTTGTGCTTCTAACAGATAACAGATCTTCAACCGATTAATTTGGGACATGATAGTATTATTCACATCTATAGACCATCAATTTTAGCATAAGCGGAAGATAATTTTCAAAGTTATAGTGCACGAACACACGTGTCAAGATCCCACTTAAATGACCGCACGTGTCATCAATTTAGCCCATGCCTCGTGTAGATCATATAAAAACTCCTTATCCACTTAAATGGACCGTTTCAGAAGATTCAATGAACTCACTCCCATTTTCCATCCATGCTGTGTTTTGTGAGAACTTATCCATATATCTACGTGTTTTGTATATGTGAGGAGAAAATGCAGATATATGTCAAATAGTACTGGAGCTCAGTAACACACGTGTCAAAATCCCACGTTACCAGATCATCTAGCGTATTTCAATAAATAGATTTGTCTACCTAAATTTATTTATTTTTTAGAGATGATATTTACATTTCAATTTTCTCTCCATTTTAATTTTTTAATACTCCATGTGTCCCAAAAAAAAAAATCCCTCTTTTGTGAAATATGACTTTTTATGATTATAGTTTTTTATATATATATTTTTTATTTTAGTGATAAAATGAATTTTTTAATATGCCTTTTTAAAATTTTAAGTTGACATTCTTTGACTAGGATACTTATATCAAGACAAGAGGATAAATTAAGAAAATTAAAAATATAGTACATTGAATTTTGAATCCATGCTTATTTTGGGATAATTAAAAAGTAAATATGAACATTTTTTTTTTTAAACAAAGGGACTTAAGGAGTAATTGAAATGACAATCTCATGGATAATGGTATATTCTTAAATTGTTGTAATATTTAAAATAAGGGTCAAGTATAGTCACACCCCTTAGGTTTGACAAAAATACATTCAGATGAAACTTACCTGTTTTTTTGACAAAGGTACTCACTGAAGATTCAAAAATGAACAAAGACACCCCTTTACATGAGAAATTGACAAAATTATTCTTTGACCGTTTATTAGACTTTTTTAATTTTATAATTTAATAAATTGGACTAATCTACCCTCATAAACAATTTATGCATAAAAAAAAGTAACCAAAAAAAAAAAAAAAAAAAACTTTATAAATGTCTCAACTTCTTAAAAATGATTTTTTGATCTAATACATATATTTCAAATAAATTATATTTTGTTATTACTTCTTTTCTTTTTCTTTTTTATTTTTAAATTAAGATGCTTAATTCTTTCATTTAAAAAAATTAAATCAATTTCTTTTCCTTAAAAATAAAAAATATGGTACCAGTATAACTTATGCATATTAAATTATATATTAAATATTATGTATTTCCCAACATAAAAGAAAAAAAAATAATAATAAAACAAAGGAGAAAAAAAAAATAAAGGCATGCATAAAGTTAAGATGCATAAAATTATACTGATACTTATTTTCTTTTATATTGAAAAATGCATAATATTTTATATATAATTTAAGATGCATAAAGTTATACTGGTACTATATTTTTTATTTTTAAGGAAAAGAGATTAATTTAATTTTTTTAGATGAAATAATTAAGCATCTTAATTTAAAAATAAAAAAGAAAAAGAAAAGAAGTAATAACAAAATATAATTTATTTGAAATATATGTATTGAATCAAAAAATCATTTTAGACGTGTACATTTTTAAGAAGTTGGGACATTTATAAAGTAAATAACGAAAAAAAAAAAAAAAAGTGAATAATATAAAGTTTTTTTTTTTTTTTTTTTACTTTTTTGTTATGCATAAATTATTCATGAGAATAGATTGGTTCAATTTATTAAATTTTAAAGTTGAAAAAGTCTCATAATCGGTTAAAGGATGATTTAGTCAATTTTTCATGTAAAGGGGTGTCTTTGTTCATTTTTTAACTTTCAGGAGGTATCTTTATCCAAAAAACTAATAAGCTTCCTCTAAATATCCTTTTGCCAAATTTCAGAAGGTGTGATTATACTTTACCCTGAAAATAATTTAAATTTAAAGATGAAAAGTTCGAATATTCTTATATGACGTAATAACATTATTTGTGTGACTTTAGGGGTTCATTGAGTGTGAAAGCATAACTTATATTTAATGTACCAAATTTGCTCGTAAAGGTCGTTTACGTGAATTTCTACATGATTGAATGGCATAAAAAATTTCAATCACTCATTATTTCTCAAAAAAGTCTCGTGTCAAACTCCACCTACACAATTCTCTGTTCAAAGAATATGCTTGTCGAGTAGAATATGCCCATTCGCCTCACCTAAAATAATAATAAGAAGAAATTTAAAAATATGTTTAGTTCAGCTTTTTTATTTTTTATAAATTAAAAAAGGATAAAAAAATTTATCAACAACTAATAAATAATTTCGACAACTATTTTTTAAAATTTTTAGTTGAGAATCCACTGATTTTCAAAAAATTGTGTTTACTACGATTTTTTTGTTTTCATAATCCTTGAAAATTATTTTTTATGTACAAATCAAACAATATAAAGTGTTGAACTCCCCTAAAAGTATGAAACGTCTTCCATTACCTTATCTATATTTTTTTTTTGTTTAAATATGTCATACCAAAATACTCTATTATCCTCTAATTTTTCGTCATTTTATAAACACTATATTACCTTACATAATTTTTTTTTATTTAAAAAAACTAATCAAACTCTAAAACAAAACCTAATCAAATGTCAATAACAAAAAAATTATTTTTTTAAATTTAATAATATAAAATTAGTATGAAAAAATGACATTTTATGATTTTTTTTCATTTTCATTTCAACTATATATAGTTATTGAAATTTTTTAATACAAAGAAATAATAATTTAGTTATTTTTTAATTTTTTTTTAAAAAAGAAATCCTTATAATGTGATTGACCCCCCCCCCCCCCCCCAAAAAAAAAAAAAAAAAACCGGATAAGAATCATAAGAGGATAGACTCTCTCACCAGCCCATTGTTTTCTCTTAGTGTCCACTCCTCGAAATACGACATGACACGTCATTCCACAACGACCCAACGGATAAGGACCGTTCATCTCTGTTTGCATATTATAAATATTCCTATTCCTATCCATTGTTGTATTGCTAAATACCCACCCATTCTCTATTATTGAGCTATCCTCTATTAAAAAAAAGCTTCCATTCCATTGTTTGCTTGCTAGCTGCGACATTATTGTTCCTTGGGACAATATATATATATATATATATATATATAAAGGAAAGAGAGAGTTTGGTGTTTGAGATCTGCCTGAGAAATGGCTTCCACGGCTGTTGGGATGATGGGTGGTAATTCTTCTTCTTCTTGGATTCATTTGAAGGACTCAAAGAAGAAGAAGAAGAAGAAGAATATGATGATGAGAAGAAGCCACAATAATAATAGAGTTAAAGTCTCTTGTGTTTCTTCCTATGCCGTTACCGATCCATACTCAACTCTTAGGATTCAACCAGGTGCTTCCGAATCTGAAATCAAGAAAGCTTTTAGACAACTTGCTCTCCAGGTATTTTTTTTTTTAAACTTGTTTTTCTCTGCATATATATACATACATAAAACCATGTTTATTAAACACTTATCAGGAAAAAGTATTCCTAGTATAACCCATAAAAAACTAATTTTAATGGCTTTATTTCAAACAAAAAGGTTTTATGTATATATATATACACACACACATAAAACCATGTTTATTAAACACTTGTCAGGAAAAAGTATTCCTAGTATAACCCATAAAAAATTAATTTTAATGGCTTTATTTCAAACAAAAAAGGTTTTATGTGGATTAAATCTAAAGGAACAAAAATGATATATATATATATATATATGGTGATTGTAATAAATAAAAATTTGAATATACGACAACAGGATAGAGTAATTATTTTTTAAATTTTATTTTATTTCTTTGAATCAAAAGTTTCAACTTATTTACTGCAGTTAATGAGCCATTGAACATTTAACTCAAAAGGGACAACCAAACGTATGTTGTGGGTGAGCATTAATGTTTTTTTTTTTTATGAATCATTGATGTGGGGGGTAATATTTTAATTTCGTTTGATCAAATTTTCAGTACCATCCGGATGTTTGCAGAGGAAGCAATTGTGGGGTCCATTTTCAAAGCATTAATGAAGCTTATGATGTGAGTCACCAACACACTTTCATAATCCTATCTCTTTATTTTTTCTGCACAATGTATTACTAATAATTTGTGTATTTAATGTCCAGATGATACATTAAATACAAATCTTATAGATTAGATGGTAATTTTAATTTTCAAAGTTCTTTTTCATACTTAATAGTCTACCGCCATGATTAAGTCTAGACAATATTGAATGGATGGGATAAGATTAAAATTTTGACAGCCAAGTGGTACTTTTATTTTTGAGTATCACAATTATCCTTTATTTTTTTCTCATTTCTTTTTTTAGTGGGAGTCCCAACATTAAACGAACCCTTAAATAGAAAAATGATTTCACATTTAAGTGGGCTGAGGTTATGATATCATTGTTGTGATATGGTTCTTATACACATAAAATTAGTTAAATTTATTACATAACAAAAAAACCTTATTTCTGATGTAGTTGGAAGTTTCAGTAACATTATAAATCTAACAAATATTTTTAAAAAAAGAGAATACTTTTTCAATATTCTTTGAATTTTAAAGGGGCATTATTAATCATATAAAAAGTCTAACAAAGCCAGACTCCTCTAGATGTATACTTTCCAAGTCTCCTTGCATATTTATGATCAAAATGACTTATTTTTAGTCTTACTAATTTCTTTAATGATGACGATGATGCAGATTGCGATGAGTAATTTGAGAGGTGAATCAACCACACCAGAGATAGAGGCTTACGAACCGTACGATGCAGGTATAGATGAACCCATGAGAGGGATGAACGATCCTGATTGGGACATGTGGGAAGAATGGATGGGATGGGAAGGAGCGGGAATTCGTGACTACTCGTCTCATATTAACCCTTATATATAATAAGTAAGTTATTATGTATATATAATCCATGTATAAGTATTACACCCATATATACATCAATCAAATTGGTTGGTTGATGGTTGTGGTGTTGTATATAGTGAAAGTGGGTGTAAAATGTTTTTGTTCTATGTACATAGTTGAATGTCATCTTATGGCTTCTTCAAAATTAGAAGCCTAATGGATTTTAATATAATAAGAAACTTTATGAGTTTAAAACATTTGCTCTAACCCTTTCTCTAAGCCTTATTATTCATGACCTTCCATTGTATTTTTTGTACCTGAAAAAAGGATAATTTTGAATTATGATCTATTCAAATCAACGAGTGCAATCCTCGTAGGATTGTTGTCACACGTCTACAATTTTTACACAAAAGTGGTGATTATTCAAAAGACCAATGATAGGCGGGACTCTACAACAACTTTATGTCAATGTTAGGTCGGGCCGGGACTAATAATATAAGTGAGAATGGCCCCATTACATGATGTCATGGGTGAAATAATGTTGTGGGGCTCATGTGGCTCAAATAAGTTCAATCTGATTATCGTTCATATTTAAATATTTGATTTATTTATTTATTTATTTTTTTTTTTAAGAAACGTACTCACAATACAATTTTGCAATCTAAATTTTTGTTTCAGCTAAACTTCTTACCATTCCCATTATTTTCATAGATCAGAAGTTGTAAATATATTATAAACAAACTACTATGCTCTTTAGCTACTAATTTTGCAGTTTAGCTTTTTTGTTTAAGCTTAATTTCTCACTATTCCCATTCTTTCATAGATCAAAAGTTGTAATTAAGTTTGTAGACATTAAAATTTTATAGATTTTTGTTTTGACAAATTGACCCATTAAATATGAGTCTCATTTTATTAAATTATTTAATTGGCCCAAACTGGATCCACTTAAATGATTTAATTAGCCCAGCCCAGATTATTAAATAAAAAGATAATTATTCCGAATAAAATATATTTGGAATAATTATTTGGATAATTATCATAATATAACCGGTTCGGCCAGTTATGATTATGTCCTTATTAGGAGAGGACACATGTCATCGTCCTATTAATCCAAGAAACTTATAAATAGAGGCATGGAGGATCCAAAAATCCTATAAATAGAGGCATGGAGGAAGGAGGAAGTGATACAAAAATTGAGAATTTTAGAAACTTCTTTTTGTTTTAGGGGAGTAGAAAGGGATTCAGCCTCAAAATCAGAAGCGTCAAGATCGATGGGCTCTTCAGGATCTTGGATGACCAGAGGAGGATTCCTGGAGATCGCCTCAAGAAGATAAGTGGAAAGAAGGACCTTTACCGAAGGGATATTATACTAAACGTTTGATTGCAGGTACTCAATCCTAATGTTTGCAAATTTAGAAGGAAACAGATTAGTTTCATGACCTAATAAATCATAAATATAACAAAAGTGCTTGACCACACAAACAAAGCAAGGAGACTCACCCGAGTCATCGAACACAGGGATACAGGGGGTATGGAAGCTCGCCTGAACATGGAAATTCTGAGCAGAGGAAAAGCTCCAGGGGCCTCCAACCTCAACAATATTTTCCTTCCACTCCTTGTCAAATGTATTAAGACCAGAAAAAAGGGCCTCACCTCGTTCTAAAGTGAAAATGATACCTACCCTCTTCACTTGTTATTCTATTTACTAAATAGCAGAAGAAAAGATAGGCAAGATTCAAAGACAGCCCTCGGGTTCGATTCAGAGCTAGAAGACAATACAAAATACAAAAGAAATTAGGGTTCACTTGAAGAAGGGCCAAATTCAGAATAGAAAAGACCCAAAGATAAAAAGGGTTTAGGGGTAACCTAAAAGTAGACAAATGACCAGTAAATAATAACATCTCATCATCCCCCAAACCCTCACCATCCCTAAACCATCACCAGTGCTAAGATTCAGATCATATGGATATTCTTCTAGGGTAACATATTCGGGTATCCTTTTTTTTTTTTTTCTCAATTGAAGAACAGAAATAGATTTCCTCTCCACAATGTCAACGGGAAGAACTATAGGACCCTCAACAGAAATTGGGGTACTCGTGTTAACCCCCGACGTTCTCGACTCATAATCAGACATCATAGCACTAGGGGTACGGTCATTACTTTCTTGACTCGTGATAGAAGAATGGAACGAGAATAGGAAAAGAGAAAAAAGCAAAAAGCGGTGCGAAAGAAGCTGAACTTAAATGTTGGGAGGTGGCCGGAACGACTGCTGGTGCAACTTTTGGGGAAAGAAATTTTGCAAGTATAAACCCTCAAGGTAACAAAATTGGCACATTTATATGCACCAGACGTGCAATGAAGCGGCAGCAGCACGATACCCCAAGATGCGAAACTCCATAATGGTAAAGATGAGCATTAACCTCTACACAAACTACTCCACTTCCAAAAACAGCTACAATTCCTTATATGAATATGATACATAAAAGGAATTGGGGGCAAAGTGTGGAGGGAAATTTTCCCACCAATCACAAGGCTCCACGTGCATTCATCCAAGTGAATAAGTTAGCCCAGAAAGTCAGGTCCAAAGGTGGAAGCCCAAACCAAATGATCAACCAAGGGGGTAGTGGGAAATTTCAAACACCAATTTGGCTCACAAAGTAGCGCTAAGCCCACAAGGCTCAATGCAAAGCCTTGACTACCACGATCATAAGTAATGCATACATAATGAATGTCATAGAATCTGGGATTGATTGAGCTCCAAAAATGGAAAATCCATGCTACACTCTAAGATAATCTCTTTTGTACACACACACACACACACACACACACACACACATATGAAGGCAAGACCCAAATAAAAGATCAAGCCATTCTCTGCCTATAAGCCATTGTTCTTCCTCTTAAGTTTCTTTTTCTTAATTTTTTTAAACATATTTCAGCAATAATTTTCTTTCTTCTTGAGTGTTTGAGCATCGAATCTCCCAGATTGAACCACAGTGTTTGGTCCGATATTTTATGCACCTACACACACCTTATCCAAATAGTCGAGCTCCCCCAATGGTAGCTCATAAATGTTAGTTGTAGTTATGTTTTCAGAACTCGACCCATAATGGGGCCACTTATAAGTCGAGAGAGAGAGAAAGCACTTCAGAGTTTATCCGTAAAGAGTAATATTATGAAGGAACATAGAAAGGAACCCATCTAATTGGAGTGGGGTTCCTCTATGAGGAAAAACAGAGGAACACAAAAAGAAACCCATCTAATATAAGTGGGGTTCCTCTGTGAGGATATAGAGAGGCTAGTGAGCTTTCTCACTAGGTGATGATAGAGACTAGCTTGAGAAACAATTTGGGAAGGAGGTAGTGGTGAAAGATTTGAGTTATTGTGATGGGGATAAAGCATCTGGTTCATATGGGTTTACTCTAGCCATTTTCCAGCAAAATTGGGAGGTGGTGAAAGACAGAGGCGACGAGAGCCATTGATGTTTTCTTTCTTGATGGTTATTTTAAGAAGAGTCTGAAAACTTTTATTACTCTAATTCCTAAGAAGGGTAGAGTGGTTGAGGCTGAGAATTTTAGACCCATTAGCTTAGTTGGCATTGTGCACAAGATTATTGTGAAAGTCTTAGCCACTCACTTAAGGAAGGTTTTGGATGGAGTGATCTCATAGTTGCAAAATGCTTTTGTTGGTGGGTGCCAAATTCTGGACTCATTGCTAATTTCTAGTGAGTGCATTGAGGCTAAAACAAGAAGTACAAATCCAACGGATTGTGTGCTAATTGGACATCGAAAAAGCCTACGACCATGTCTGCTAGATTTGTTGATTTATTTGATTGAGAGGATGGAGTTTGGGCACATATTCAAGACATAGATTTTTCATTTTATTTCAATTTCAAGCTTCTCTGTCATAATGAATGGTTCACCAACGGGCTTTATTTGCTAGTTCTAAAGGGTTACGTTGTGGGTACTCTCTCTCATATTTCTTATTTATAATTGTTATTGAGGCGTTTAGTATATTGATAGGAATGGCAGAAAGGCTGGGCTTCATTCAAGGCTTTACAGTGGGAAGAAACCCTAATCAGTTATCCATTTCTCACTTGTTTTTTGTGGATGACACCATTGTATTTTGTGCTGCCAGTGTTGACCAGCTAAGACATTTGAAGTACATTTTGGCTTGCTTTCAAGTTTTTTCCGAGCTAAAGATCAATATTGAGAAAAGCGAGATGGTTACAGTTGGGGAGGTTGAGCATATCCATGAGTTTGCTGATATCTTGGGGTGTGGGGTTGGATCTTTTCCAATTTCCTATTTGGGGCTACCCTTGGGAGCATTGAAAATAGGGGTTTTAGTTTGGCATCCAATTGTTGAGAGGTTTTAGAGGAGGCTTACAGGTTGGAAGAAATAATACTTGTCAAAAGGGGGAAAGGCTTACCTTTATGAGGAATGCTCTTTTGAGTTTTCTTACCTATGTCACTTTTCCCAATGCCTATAGAGGTGGTTCGAAGACTTGGAACATATTTAGAAGAATTTTTTGTGGGGAGGTATGGGAGACGACTTCAAGTACCACTTAGTTAATTGGGAAAGACTTTGCATCCCTATTAAAAAGGAAAGTTTAGGGATCCGTAAGCTGGAGCTATTCAATGAAGGTGTTGTTAGGAAAATGGATTTGGAAATTTGAGAGTGAAAGATCTAACCTTTGTACGCATGTCATTGCATGGGGAGGGGAATGGAGGGTGGCAGAATAAGGATGTGAGATCGCCAGTGGGTATGGGCTCTTGGAAATTTATTCGGAAATGATGGGATGAGTAAATTTCAAATGTATCCAATTCAAAGTTCAGAGTGGGAGGCATGTCAACTTTTGGGAGGACCATTAGTGTGGGGATTTTGCTTTGGCTCGTAGATTTCCTCGACTTTTTAGAATTTTTGTGAATAACTATGCTGTGGTTGCTGATTATTATCGGCTTGATAATAGGAGGGTGACTTGGGATTCGTAGCTTTATAAGAGTTCCAAGATTATGAGCTTATGGAGGTGTTTGAATTCCTTTAGTTGATCTACAGCCAGGTAGTGGAGGCGAGGGTATGGACGAGATGGTGTGGGTGGGCACCTCGAGAGGGGTGTTTGAGGTTAGGTTGTTTTCCCAAAGCTTTATAGAGTCTCTAGGTTCCACCTTCCTCTGGAAAGCTATTTGCAGGACTAAAGCCCCTCTAAAGGTGGCTCCCTTCACTTATTCGGTTGCCCTTGGTAGCATTCTCACTCT